TTCAGTCGTGAGCGGGATTGGCTGCGAGAAAGATTCCTCCTTGGTTGTTTGCTACCAAAGGTGGTGGTGCAATAGAAAAGTAACCTAACTCTTTTTGGAGTGATATTAGCCAGGCTAACTCAGAGCATGCCTCCGAGAGTGCCATGTATTCGGCTTCCGTCGAGGATCTTGCCACCGTCTTCTGCATCTGAGATGCCCATGTGACTGCTCCATCAGCCATCAAGAAAACAAAACCAGTTGTTGATCGCCAGTTATCCCAATTTTTGCCCCAATCTGCGTCTGAATACCCTATCAAACCTGACTGATTTGAGCCAGAGTACCAGATACGATACTCGGTGGTGTGACGGAGATACCGGAAGATGTGTTTCGCGGCTTCCACGTGCTGTGACGTAGGGTTTTGCATGTATTGTGAGAGTCGTGTGACTCCCCAGGCGATGTCAGGTCGTGAACCAATCATCGAGTAGATGAGACTACCAATCATGGACTGGTAGTGATGGCGGAGTGCATCGGTAGCGGTATATGTTTCAGCAGCCTTCTCGAGATGTATGCCTTGGGGCAGCAGTGTGCGGCAAGGTTTTGAGTTGTGCATCTGGAACCGAGATAGAATTCCTTCGGTATACGACTGTTGGTCGATTTCCAAACACCTGTTGTTTCTATCACGAGTGATCTGCATTCCAAGGAATGTACTAGCGGCTCTAAGATCTTGCATTTGGAATTTCTCTGCAAGAACTTTCTTCACTCGTTGGATCTCAGGTAAACTTGGACCCATTGGTAGAAGGTCGTCGACGTAAACTATGAGGTAAACTTCGACTTTGTCGTGATGATAAACATAAACGCCAGTGTCTGAGCGCGTGTGTTTGAATCCATTCTCGAGTAGCGTAGTGTGTAGCTTCTCGTTCCAGGTGCGTGAGGCTTGGCGTAAGCCATAGATAGCCTTCTTCAATCGACACACCATCTTTTCCTGTCCTTTCTTCACAAATCCTTCTGGTTATTCTATATAAATCTCCTCGTTGAGCTCGCTATACAGGATGGCCGTTTTGATATCCATTGCCTCGATTTCCCAATCTTCGAGTCCGGCATGTGCGAGTAAGAAGCGTATAGCTTCATAGCGTGCGACGGGAGAGAAGATTTCCTGAAAGTCTATCCCCTCTATCTGTGTGAATCCTTTGGCCACAAGACGTGCTTTGTAGCGACCATCGGGCTTGATCACATAAACCCATTTGCACTTTACAATTCTCCGGTTGTTCGGTCTGTTGACCAGAATCCATGTGGAATTTTCCTCCTGAGACTTGAGTTCCTCTTTCATCGCGATCTCCCACTGTTTCGCATCTGGGCAAGACATTGCCTCGCGGTACATAGTGGGGTCAGGCTGGTGAGCATGACATATTCATTGGAATAAATTCTGATGGAGTTGATCGTCGACTTCCATTGGAGAGTTTTCACGTTGTTCACGTGCTTCTCGTTCTTCTCGTTGATCACGTTGGATGTCTCGTTCCTGTTGACGCCATGTTTCTGTGGGCGGGAGGTCACCATAGCTGTTGTCGGGAACACGGCATTGGCCTGCATTCTCGCGGTGTGGTCTGGCCGGTTGTGGCACAGGTTGTGGTTCGAGATTCCATCGTTGCCTAATATCAGGAGCAGGTGGTGCTGCCTGATGAGATGGACCGGCTTGTCCGCTCTGACGAGGACGATATTGTTCTCTCTGAGGTGGAGGTTGTCCAGGAGGTGGACCGGGAACGAATGGTATCTCCGGATGCTCGTATGGTTCCGGAGTTGGGCTTCGATATTGTTCATAATGATCGGCTGGATCATCATTGACTTCGTCATCATCCTTTTGTTGCGGTTCGTCTTGCCGCGGTTGTGGATGTGCATTGTCTGGGGGTTGATTATCAGGTGTGAAGTCATCCGGACTGGTAGAGTCCGGGTTCAGCAGGTTGGGTAGGACAGGTAGAATAGGATCTTGAGATGTTCCAGGCTCACGAGGCCTTTCATCTTGCTTTGGAAAGGAAGACTCATCGAAAGTGACGTTGCGTGACACAACGATGGTCCGGGCAGTTGGATCCCAGAATCGGTAACCCTTTGTACCGATTTCGTACCCGACAAAGATCATTACTTTAGCCTTTGGCTGTAGCTTATTGACCCTCGCATCTTTATGTGTGTGGACGTAGGCTTTGCAGCTCTATACTCGAAAGTACGATACGTCCGGAACAGTGCCATTCCATTTTGTGATGGGAGGCTTCCATTGATGACGGCGCAGAGGTTGTCAATTGTATATGTGTACTGCTGTTTCCGATGCTAGCTTCCAGAACCCAGACGTCATGCCAGCGTGATGTCGCATAGCTTCTGCCTTATTCTGAATGGTCTGTTGCCAGCATTCTGCTCTGCCGTTCTGTTGTAGTGTCCGCGCCACTGATAGTTGACGCTCTATTCTGCGTTCTGCTAGGAAATCGTCAAATTCGCAGCCTAAAAACTCCCCCCCACGGTCCGAATGTATAGCCTTGAGCTTGCGCTCGGCCTGTGTTTCCGCCCAAGCGACAAATTGCTTGAAGGCAGAGAAGGCATCAGACTTCCGTTTCAGATACCAGACCAAACCAAACGAGGAATAGTCGTCGAGGGTGGTAAGGGCAAACTTGTATCCATCGAGTGATAACGATGGATATTCGACAAGATCCATGTGAATTAAGTCGAGGGGATGTTCTGCACAACTGTCAGACGCAGGAAATGCATCGCGACAAGACTTCCCAAATTCGCACCCATCACAGGGAGTATCCCTGGTTGGAGCTGAGATCTTTTCTGGGACGCCTTTAACATTGCCAGGTAGTTGGATAACCGATTTCTTCCCGGCGTGTCTGAAGCGACAGTGCCACAAAGTATATGGATCGTCAGATTTGACCGACATTAATGTTCCTGGCTTAATCTCACTGGTCCTCGTGAGGACTTCAGCTTCTAGCCAATATAAACCTGACGACTTTTCATATTCGCCCTCCATTAAAACTGTCCGCTTTGTTGGGTCTGACCCGTGGAGTAACTTAAACTTCTTGCCATCCATCTCAATACAGTGACCGTTATTGAGTGGCATTCTTGGCGCAAAGAACCGTTCTGCTGCTTCCGGTACGTATAATACGGTTTCTAACCGGATATGTTGAATTCGTCCATCTGTGAGACGATGTTGCAGAGCGATTTCACCGTGACCTTTGATTTCGATAGTCTGACCTTTACCGGCCGTGTGTGTATGACCTGGCTTAGAGAATTCATGGTACTGAATAAAGTCAGTTTTGTACGGTGTGACATGTGTTGTACAACCGCTGTCGACCATCCACTTAGACTTGACACCCGTAGCATAAAGAGAAACAGAGATGGATTCCTCCTCGATCTTAGCTACAAGTGGTACATCAACAATTTGTATAGTATTTACAGTCTGCGTGGTCGTTGCAGTATTGTCCTTCGCTTTGCCCTTTCCCTTTCCCTTCTTGCGCTTTCCGCCACTCTGCTGCTGCTGCTGCGTGTTGTTGCCGTTACCGGAACTCGAGCCAGAATTTGCCGGCTTTGTGTCCCAGTGCTGCTTCGTCGTGTGATTCTTGCGACCACACTTCTCACATTTCTTGTCCAGAAGGGGCGCCTTCGAGACGCGCGCAATCTGAGTGCGGTTCGCGACGCGGCGCTGTTCCTTCTCGACGATCTTAGGCTTGATGAGCGCCGCTGTGAGCAGCGTGACATCAGTCTGCGTAGTGAGAATGGTACCAGCGATGGTCTGGTACAACTTGGAGAGAGCATTGATCATCAGCAGAGCAAGGAGCTGAGGTTTGACCTCTATTCCTGCCGCGTTGACCTGGTTGGACTGCTCTGTGAGCGCGTCGAGTTGCGGGCCGAGCGCGGAGTTGTCAGAAAGCTGCACATTGAACAGCTTCTGGAAGGCGACAAATGCGCCTACCGCTCCGGGTTTCTCATAGCCGGCCTTGATCGCGGTCCATGCGTCCAGGGCCAAGAACTTGTCATCGACAAGATGACAAAGATTCTGCGCGATGTAGAGCTGGAGGATACCCAGCGCCTTGTTGTTTTTCTCATCCCATGCAGCTTGAGCTGCAATTTCCATAGCCGTGGGTGTACCTGTTGCAGCTACTGGTCTGGCAAGACCGGGGACAGGGACGGTCGCTGTGGAGCCGTATCCCTGGATCAAGTACCAGACGCCCTAGTAGTGCAGGAAGGCTTGGATCGCGTCGGACCACTTTTTGTAGTTGGTGCCATCAAATTGCGGGATGGTAGATGTGGCGAGCTTGGTCGGGTCAGAAGAGGATGACATTGTTATCGTGTACAAAGAGGAGGCGAGTGTATGCATAGAGAGTTTTACGTTCCTTTGGAGTTAACCCGACGTCGTAAAGGAATTCACTGAGATCGAGCTCGTATGATTCGGCTCGTGTCGCTTGAAGTGATTCCCAATCTTCTTCCAAGAATGCGAGATCGTATAGCTGATGAATTGGCCTATAGTATAGATCTTCAGCAATGTCTTCCTGGTCTAGGTAACAAGCGTATGATTCCGAATATGTGTCGGAGCTTGTGGGAAAGAAGATATGGATGACGTCGTCGTTGTAGTTTGTTAACTCTGCTGACACGTTATATGTCGGAGGTTGTTGGACGTAATTAAAGTAATGTGGTGTTAATAACAACTCGACGTATTGTTCATGTGTTGTTAACGATTCCCACGGAGTTTCTACGTCGTCTATGATATTCAGTCGCTGTCTGAATTCCGCGATGGTTTCCTGTTTTGTCTCTACGGTTTCAGATACCGTATTTGTCTCCTGAGAGGTGGTAATTGTGTACGCTGTTGAGCGAACCACTTATCCCAGCTAAGCCGATTTAGCCGAGAGGTGGATAGAGTTGGGATTGGACGAAGGAACCAGTTAAACTACGACGCTTGTTGTCGCTTAGAATAAACACACAGTAGTCAAGTTTCTGAGTAGAACTTTCTTCTAATTGTTACAATAGCGATGTATACAAAGTATCTATTTGTTCTCATAAAACCTAACTGCGTCAAAATATCTGTTCACGTAAACTGCGCTAAGCGCTTGTACAATCCGGGCTTTGTTCTTGCGTAGCCCTTTGAATGAGATATCCCCTATTCCTCTGCACCCTAATTCCCACTTGCGCCACTTCTCGTATTTGACGACGTTACAGACGTCCGCTAGGCAGCGCTTGATGCGCGTGAGCTGCTCGATGAGTCGGCGGAGATTGCGGACTTGGTCGGAGTTGAGGTCGTCGAGCTTGAGAGTCTCGAAGACGTCGATGCGTTTGAGCGTGCCGTCGAACTTTGGTGTGAAGATGCGGACGAGGTTGGCAGGAGTGTGCTTGTCGAAGTCGATGAGTATCAGCTTCGGGGCAATCGGCGTATGTGTCACCGATGGGATGGCAGCGAGACGCTGCTTGAGTGTCGGCTTCGACAGACCGGCGAGGATCCGTTCGCGCGCCTGTTGAATTTCGCGTGCAGCTAGATGCTGCTCGAAGTTGGCCTTGTCGGTCGCATAGCACTCGCGGAACTGTTCGCGACGTAGGTGCCTACCCTCGTGTGAGTTCGGTGGGAATGAGAGAGTGAGCGCTGGAGTCGGCGGGCGTAGTTCTTTGCCGCGGCGTTTACCATATGGGACGGTCTCGACGGGGTCGTTGGCGTTGCCAGAGGCGGGCGCGTAGCCGGCAGAGTGCTTGTACTGCTGGAAAACGGAGTGAGGGGGACAAGCAGGTAAATCCTTTGGCACTAGAAATTACACAGGAATGAACGCGTGAACGCTCTGTCTGCCACTAGCACGCAACGAGACTTACTCGTAAACTGCGTGGATAAACTTTGTTTAAACTGGGTGAAGGGGACCGAGGTTTCCCGAGGGGTCTTCTTCAGCAATGAGACTAGTAAAGTGGGGGTAGAGTGGCCGTGAGGCCGGGGCTCATAACCTGTTAAAGTGCGACTGAACTCTCTTTATTCTGTGCTACAGGGCCAGAATATATACATGTGAGTCGGGACCTCTGATACCGCTATAAGACCTATGGTACTGTGAGCGTAAGCATGTATACTAAGCATGAGTAATCAGGTGTCGTATTACTACAAGATAATAGAGGGGTCATGTGATGATATCCCCATTAGTCCATACAGGGCAATGACGTAATCGCCCAGTTCTGACACATACAGCAGAGCAGCGTAGGAAGTCTCTAGATGTGAAGGGTATCTGGTAATCAGCGAGGTGGTTGAACATCTTCAGACTGTACTCCAGGAGCTGTGCGAGCCAGTGAAGGTGCTCAAAGCTAGGGTCCAGGTGGCGTGAGAAGGTCTTGTAGACAAGATGTCGAATGGCTTTACACAGTTCGGGGCATGTGCTCAGCATCCAGGTCAGCGAGGCAAGTCGATGTTGAACACGATAGAACGGTAGAGCATCATGCGTGCAGGAGTTGACCGAGTGCAACAGACAAGAGCTGTTTAGGCGAGATCAACAGAGGGGAGGTGAGGGAATGGCTGGAGCAGGAGATCTCTGTTGCAAGACTACACTGTAGACATACTGTTGGTGCTGGTATGAAACATCATAGGCGATGTAGCAGCAACAGCTGTAGTGTTGTGCAATTGGCTGCATAGGTTTGGTCAGTTATAAGCATATTTCTCACTGTAGGTGGCAACAGAAAGATACCACGAAGCTCTGTTATTCCCGAAAGTGACGAATCCAGCGAATAATAACGCAGGATTTTAACACCCGGGCCGTGAGCGGACTCAATCTTTATAGAATAATTGCATCCGTCAGGGGGTGTTGAACTGAAGCCCCTGAGTGCGGCGTTGCGTTTTAACCCAGGCTGGTCTCCGCGGTCTATATCAGAGACGGTCACCCACCCACCGACTGAACATGGCGAGTAGTTTCTGCGTACCGGAGGAGCTCCTCCTCAAGATCCTGTCTTACAATCTCGTCTTGTCGGACGACGCCTTCACGGGACACGCCTTCACCGACTTTGGCGCCGGCGCGGCCGATATCCACTGTGCGTATCTCGCCGTATCGTATCCGCTCGCAGACATCACCCGCCGCTCGAGCCCGACGGCCCAGCTGCTCGTTTGCCGACGCTGGGCGCGCGTCGGCACGCCGCTGCTGTACGAGGCCGCGGTGCTGCGCACGCACGCGCAGCTGCACGCGTTCGCCCGCGCGCTGCACGGCGCCGCGCCGGGGCCCCCCGGCACGTTCGTACACCGGCTCCGCTTCGGTGCGTCCTGCGGCGCGTTCCTCGACCGCGTCGTGCCGCACACGCCGCGCGTACACACGCTCGCGTTCTCGCTCAACGCGCCCGTCGAGAGGGGCTTCCACTCGTTTCCGTACCCGAGCGCCGGCCTCCGCGCCGCGCTGGCGCAGCTGCACCCCCGCCGGCTGCTGCTCGAGCGCGAGGGTTTCTTGCCCAGCAAGCGTGTGGAGGAGATGATGTGTGTTATCCGTGGCGCGCTCGTCCACTGGGACTCGCTCGTTCGTCGTCCTTTGCGTCTGCAGCGAGGTGTCTCGGGAGTTGACGCTGCCTTGTTAGATCCGAATAGACTTCAGCAACCACTTCACAATGGACCAGGAGTTGGCTATCGCAATGTCCCACAGTCAGTCGTTGCAATACGTCTCTATGTTCGATGATCGTATCGCGCGAGACTTGGGAGAAACCGTCCGGCCGAGCTGTCTCGCCGTCGTTGCTCAGAATCCGAAGCTAAAGGCCATTCTGTGCCGCGGAGACGAACTGAAAAAGGAAGCGAAGGAGACATACCCTAGACGCGCTGCGAACCTGTTGGTGCATGACCCTGGTGAGTACAGGCACGGGTGCATGACTACGACAGCACTCACCTGGTCCCCATGCAGCACAATCGCCGAGTTCCCTTGGTATCCCACAAAATTAGGAGCTGTATCGTCAGGCCACCCCACACACGTATGAAAGGAAATCAAACTGCCCTCTGATGCCGATGCCACACTACAAATTCAGTTTCACTTTGCTTGTGTTGCCAGCCGCTGCCGTTTGCAATTACCTCCCCAGCTGCGCACCTGTTCTGGCCCGACATCGAACAAAGAGAACCCAGAGGATGTCTGTCGCAGAATGTTCCGGTGAATAAGCTCACCCGTAGCAGCACAGCCCATTATTTTACATCCATAACATACATGAACACTTGAGACCACGACATCGTTACAAAAAGAGAGAAGAGAGAGACAGAGGGGATCGCAAATATGCACACAAAAAGACGCAAAGGAAGACAGACACCATACCGGCTCCGAGACAGGGCCGGCAGCGTGTCGTCTGTCTGCAGAGCAGAGCTTCGGGAGTGTTGAGCTGAGGTCAGGGACGCACGAAAGCGGGGCATACCTATTCTACAAGATGACTACAATCGGCTTCAAAGATGCACGCCCGCCAGGCGCACGGTGGCGCCGACGGGCCCGTGGGGGCAAGCCTGGAGAGCGTCACCCTCCCACGGTCAGCAAAGCAGCTGCTGCAACGTTGTGGCATGGGCATGATCGTTAATTCATTCATACAGCGTGCCTATAGCAACGCGAGTTTCCTTGTCGTATTCTGGTCGTTTCAGTGTTTGCAAATGAATGGGCACCTACAGCGGCGCCTCCCTCGTGTTCATCGTCATCGGTGTCACCGGTATCATCGCCATCGTGCACAGCGGCACGCCGCGACGGCACTGCGACCCACGTCGTCAGCGTGGAGCTCCCCCGCAACCACAGGTGCACGCACCCTTGCGCTCCGTCCGCCGCGCGACCCCCACACCCCGCCGACACGCGCACACTACCGCCGCGTGTCCTGGGTGCCGTTCTTGGAGCACGCTTCGCATGCCTTGCAGGAGCGCACGCGGCGGCGGCTGCTGCCGCCAGCTGCGAGCTTCTCGCGCCAGTGGCGGTCGCGTATCCAGTCGAACCGGCCGTCAAACTCGATCTTCTCGCGGAGGGCGAGGCCGCGCAGGAGGCGGCGGAGGCCCTCGTAGTCGGGGAGGTCGTAGTACTCGAGGCCGCGCACGTAGCGGTAGAACGTCTGGAGCTCCTCAGGGAGCTTCACGGTGAGGATCTCCATCGTCTCGACCTTTTTGGCGCGTATGAGGTCCCAGGTGGCGCGGGTGGTCGGGCCGCGGATCTTGCGCCACGGCAGGCTGCCGCGCAGGAAGTAGAGCAGCATGTATGCGAGCGACTCGAGGTCGTCGCGCCGTGAAGCCTCTGGAAGAGCGTGTCAGTGACGGCTACACAGTCACAAGTTCGCCACAGCGTGGCAGATGAAGGCGCTGCCTCCGTGGCAGCCTCAATACGTGATGTAAGAGCCCTGGACGACCTGCTGCAACGATGCCAGCGAGACGGGTTGGGGTGGTCGGGCGATGTTTGCCAATGAGCATGCAGCACGCCGCGGGAGCTGTCACCCGATCTTGCTACCCGATCTTGTTGATGGCAGATGGGCGCTAAAGAGTCTCACTACGCCCATCGAGACAACCCAGCCAGCTGACAAGGTGGCAGCATGCAGCAATGCGTCGTACGAGACATGCATACAGCCACTGAGCGAGGCTACATCGCCACCTCCACTTTCCTGTTCGCAGAGCAACCGAAGCATGAATGCGCGTGTGTACTCACCAACGCCGTCGTGGGTGTGTATGGAGGCAAACAGTGACGTGCCGACTCCGTGATGATCGTCTTGATGGTATGGGATGTGCTCTCCGGAGAGAGGGTCTCGGTAGCGTTTTGCGAGCCCAAAGTCGATGACGTTCACACACGACTCTGCGGGGTCGCGCGAGGACATGACAAAGTTGGCGGGTTTGATGTCACGGTGTATAAGCCCTCTAGAGTGTATGTACTCTATCCGGTCGAGCTGCACAAAGATGTTAAGGGAGGCGGGTGGCACAGGGAGTGGCAGGACGCACGAGTTGGACACCAAGCATGAGAACGGTCTTGAGGGAAAAGTAGCGGTTGCAGGTCTGGAAGAGATCTTCGAGAGAGGGACCGAGGAGGTCGACGACCATGACGTTGTAGTCGCCCGACTTGCCGGCCCACATCACCCATGGAACACCGGGGCCGCCTTGAAGTGAACGGTAGATCTTGGTCTCTTGCTGGAGTGGCGACGACCTGGCAATGGCGGGCTCGATTTTGATGGCGACCTCCTTGCCGGCAATTTTGTGCACGCCTTGGTATACGGTGCCGCATCCGCCTACCGCGACTTCTTCGCCGAGCAGGTACTTTCCGCCGAACGTGTATTCCATGGTGGGGCTGGTGGGACCTGGTGGGGGGAATAGACGAGAATTTTTGGCAGAAAACGCGTCAAAGGCCGGTGGGGCAACCGTGAACGAGTCGCTGCGAGCAGAGCTGAGAGGGCGGCGGACGGTGCCGGGCAAGACGCGGGCGTGGATGGGGACGACGTGAGAGTGGTTCGCCGCAAGAGCCAACGACGGTTCGATTCTCTTGACGGGGTGATTATATAAGCCGCTCGCACGTGCGAAGATGCGAACCGGCGGACGTCATAACGAGTGTCAATCATTCGTTTATCTGCGTCGATTCGTGCACGAGGCAGAGTTTTGAGTTTACCCGAGACATTGAAAGACAAGTCAAGGACCTAGACCAGTAAGCAACCCAACCTAGGCTAGTAAGCATCACAACCTAGGCCAGTAAGCATCACAACCTAGGCTCTCCGCAGTATCTTTCACCAGCGCCACGAGGGCACGCGCCTGTGCGTTGCTTGCTACCACCATGTCCGCCCCTGGTACATCCACCGTTCGCTTATCAGCTTTCTTGGTTGCTGCATGGCTCGAGCTTTCGCTATCAGAACTGCGTTGCAGTACCGGTGCGGCGGTAGTAGGCCGAGCCGGTGATCATGGACTTCTTTTCACGCAACTCGCTGGCCTTATAACGGCTAACTTAACCATTTTTATGGAGACGATGCCCGCATTTGCCCAGACATCGCGCCCAAGTTTATGATCCTCGAGCCACGGCCCGACTGACCGGCCTGCAACGTTCTTCCTCCGCCAGAGCTTATCGTCGCCGTCGCACTAGTACTGACCTCTGGCGCCACATTGTGACCATTGCTTGCTTAGCCGCCACAGCTGTGGGGCCTGCCGATGACTGTCGGCCTTGCCTTAGGCCTCAGCGCTCCCCGAGGTTGAACAAGGTTTGCAGCACTGCCAGGATGAGTCAGCAAACAAACGTCTCCACCTCCACCGCGCCCCAGCTCCCAGATTGGTAACATGAGCACGGCCTTAGCCCTTCGCTGACTCTCCCACGTCGGTCCCGCCACTCGGTGGTGCCGTTCGACTCCTGAAGACGAGTCCAGTTTTGTAATAGGAGCACGGTACCGGCCACGCGTTTCACGGGCTTAGCCTATCGGTCAGTCACGTGCAATCTGAATTTGACTTGTCGGCCAACTTCGCCATTGCTGTCGTTTCAGAGTTCAAGTCCAAGCTCTTTGACTCAACCGCTTCGTCCATTGCCCGAGAACGACGGCTCAGCACAACTCTGTCTAGGCGCCTGGCGTCGTTATAAGCGCCGGCAGGTGGCCGCGGCAGCTGTGCGCATGGCAGGTGTGCCCATATCTGGCTGTCTCGTAATACGTATAGGCAGACGTATTATGCAGCCTTTTCCTCCGGGACTCCTCTCCGGCCATGAACCCACCAATCCTCGGCCTGCGCGGGTGAGGAGCGCGGGAGCGATCGTCGCGCGCGCGGAAAGGCCGAAGTCGTTCGGGATTGGCTGAGGGCGCCACCCCGCCGCGCTCAGTCAGCGGAGCACTTGCGCAAGCAATGCAATGCCGTTCGCACTCGGACGCGACATCATTAATCACGACTCGTTTGCGCGTGGCTTACTGAGACCGCGTCGCGCTCGTTTCGCAAAACATATATAACGCTCCGAAGACGAGGGGCGAGTCCCCACCGTCTCTCCCGTACCCTCACCCGCCCTCCAAATGGCCCCCGCGTTGATACGTGACGCTTTCGTAGGCGACGTCCTCTACCATGTCTCGGGTCACCGCCTCTTCCAGCACCCAGAGGACCGCCCGGGCTTCACCATCCCTATCCCACCAAGGTCAATCAAAAGCTCCAGGAGCGGATCTGCATCCCCCTCGAACCTCGAAACAGCCACGGCCATCGAACGACCCGACGACGAAGAATCCCGGTTACCTCGCGTTGACTCTGACCAGAGTACCATAGCTGTGCCAGAAGCCTCGGAAGAGCAGAGGCCAGCACGGCGGAAGGCTGCCGAGGTCGAAGAAGGCGATCTCGCCGGGGAGAAGGAAAAGGCCTCGGTACAGCAAGAAATTGCCGAATCTCGCATAGTAGAGTGGTACGGACCAGACGATCCAGAAGACCCGCAGAACGTACGTCTTCCTTTCCTACGCCTGTTCTCTATTTATGACATGCCGCCCCCAGTGGTCCACCGCCAAGAAGTCCTTCGTCACGTTCGAGATCTGCATGCTCACCTTCAGCGTGTACATCGGCTCCGCGATCTACTCCCCCGGCATCGGCGAGATCGCGGAGCAGTTCGGGGTCTCGTCCGTCGCGGCGACGCTCGGCCTCACGCTCTTCGTCGTCGGCTACGGCATCGGGCCGATGTTCCTCAGCCCGCTCTCGGAGATCCCGCAGTTCGGGCGCACGACGGTGTACATCGTCACCCTCGCGCTCTTCGTCGTGCTTCAGGTGCCGACGGCGCTCGCGAAGAACCTCGGCGCGCTCCTCCCGCTGCGCTTCCTCGCCGGCTTCGCGGGCTCGCCCGCGCTCGCTACCGGCGGCGCGACCCTCAGCGACATGTGGGCCCCCGAGTACCGCGCGGTCGTCATCGGCCTGTGGAGCGTCGCGGCCGTGAGCGGGCCCGTGCTCGGGCCAACCGTCGGTGGCTTCGCGGCGCAGAGCGAGAGTTGGACGTGGACGATCTGGATCCTGCTGTGGTTGAGTGGAGCGGCGCTCGCCTTCCTGACGTTCTTCCTCCCGGAGACATCAGCATCAGCGTAAGTGCATCTGTCGTCTAAGCTCAAAGCATGCGACTTACTGTACCGTGTCCGCAGATTGCTATATCGCCGTGCAGCGCGCCTCCGCCGCGTCACTGGCGACAAGCAGCTCAAATCCCAGGGCGAGATCGAGGCGGAGCACATGACGGTTGGCGACGTCGCGATGATGACCCTCGTCCGACCGTTCATCCTCATGTTCGTCGAACCGATCGTTGCCTTCTGGAACATCTATATTGCCCTGGTCTATGGCATCCTCTACATTTTCATCGAGTCTTTCAGGGTCGTCTTCGTCGAAAAGCACGGGTTCAACCTTGGGGAGAACGGGCTGGCGTTCCTCGTAAGTCTTACGTCGTACCGAGTACAGCGCGATAAACTTAACGAATCACTCGTAGGGCTTGTTTGTCGGCTCTATCCTTACATACGCAGTCTTCGCCCCCTACGCTGTCAAGGTCCTGAAGCCGAGGTTCCTCGACGGCAGTACGTGTTTCCACACCTTCTTTGCATGCCCAACATCGCTAACCGTATCCCAGCCTTCGTCCCAGAGATGCGCCTGCCCATCGCCTTCGTCGCCTCGGTCTTCCTTCCGATCTCGATGTTCTGGTTCGGATGGACGAGCTCCGCGAGCGTGCACTGGATCGTGCCGATCATCGCCTCCGCCTTCTTCTCCGCGGGGACGTACCTGCTCTTCCAGGCGGGCCTGAACTACCTCTCGGACTGCTACCCGCGCTACATCGCGTCGGTGCTCGCCGGCAACGACTTTTTCCGCTCGATGGTCGGCGCGGCGTTCCCGCTCTTCAGCACGGCGTTCTTCCACAACCTCGGCGTCGGCCCTGCGTGCAGCCTCCTCGGCGGGATTGCGATCCTGATGCTGCCTATCCCGTACATTATGTGAGCGACGTCGTCATTCTTGTTCTGAGGCGAAAATGCTGACCTGTGTTGCGTAGGTATCGCTACGGCGCACACATTCGCTCCTGGAGCAAGTACGCCGACTAGATCTTTTTTCCTCACGACCAGCTACTACGTATTTTCTTTCACTCACGCACTTGTCATTGCATTTCACGAAACTCTCCCGCATGATCCACACGACCCACGCGCCATGCTTACGTAGACACTACTGTATCGATACTGAGGTCACCGCATTTACTAGACTTGATCATACTAGGTTTATGTCATCTGGAACTCATGGCTGTATCCAATTAATCTTATGCTATGTAGTAGACCATAATAGATGAAACCTTGTCATTCTCGACCTGAAAAGCCGGGTGAGATTTGTCATGGATGCTGCGGCTTCCGGTCTCACGTGACAGAGCGTGCTCGGGGCTGACGGACTCGGAATTAGCAGAACTACGGGTACGCAATATTTCGCCCCGCCAGGGCTCTTTGCACAAAGTCTGGCAATCGCTTTGGCGGCGGGCGACAGGGGCTGCTGATTGGCTCCTCGCAGGGCTATTTGCGCATGTTAGGATCGCAAGCTGCTGCCTTCCTCATCTGAGCCTTGACTCGTCCCATGACCCTGTCCCATGTCCACAGTCTCACGTTTCGGATCCGAGCACCCCTCTCCGGCCAAGCGGAGTGAATGCATGGGTAGACACGGGGCAATGTTCCCACTCCACCCTCCTTATCCTCGGCGACATCAGTGACGACAACGACAGTGACGAGCTCGCAGCTGCAGGGGACCAGGGACACTGTTGGAACGGCCTGTGAACAGGTAAGCATGGTTCAGTCTTAGGGAATCTAGCCAGGGTTCAATGTCGTGTACAGGCTCTTTAGTTCAACAGCATGGCGGACGAAACCGCGAGACGAGCAGCTACAGCGACAAGCCTACCACCTGAGCTGCTATCTCGCATCTTTGAGCAGCACATACAGCTCTGCAAGGAATCCTGGGGTCAGAAGACTTTCAGCGAAAGGCTACCGCCATCATGCATCCCCACGGTCGGCCCATACAGCTGGATACGAGCTACCCATGTCTGTCGTTACTGGAGAGACGTCGCCCTCACAAACCCCCTTCTGTGGTCCGACATCGTTCTCACTTGCAATTACGAATGCGTCGAGACGATGCTCGCCCGCTCGCGACGAGTCCCCCTGTACGTGCAGAGCTACAACTCCTGCTGCGCTGGTGATGCCTGTCCCATACCCATCCGCCCCCTGCGCCTCGTCCTGAAACACCTCCCGCGTATCCGCAGCCTCACGCTCTACATCAAGTGGTGGGTATACTTTGACATCGTCGACACGCTACGCGGGCCTGCGCCGCTCCTGCAGCAGCTCACGCTCTCGACCCCCAGCGGACTCTATGACACCACATACATGCAGCCGGCCGTGCTCTTCCCGGAGCACGCGCCACTCACGGAGCTCACGCTCTGCTCCTTCGGCTTCCCATGGACGGATCCCGCGCCGTTCCGCGCCCTCAGATCACTTCGCGTCGTTAAGGGCACCCCCGCCCGCCCCGAGGTCGGCGACGTGCTTGGCGCACTACGGCACCTGCCCGCGTTGCGCACGCTCGCGCTCGAGGATGTCTTCATCCCATCCGCGCCTGGCCTCCCCGCGCTCCCCGCGCCGCCCGACGTCGTCGCGCTGCCGGCCCTCGCCACGCTCGTGCTCGCCGGCGACGCCGTCGCGTGCGGCACGCTTCTCAGCGGCCTCGTGCTCCCGCGCGCCACGCGCATCACGCTCAACTACCACCGCACCCAGTGCCCGCACGACCTCGCACTCGCGCTCACAGCGGCGCGCGCCAAGTTTGCGCCGGAGCCGCGCCCCGGGCAGCAGCAGCAGCAGCAGCGCGTCGAGATCGAGGTCGCCGGGCTCCGCTGCCGCCTCGAGCAGTACCCGCTCGCGTACACGTGCTACTTCTGGCGCGCGCCGTCCGAGTAGTACGGGGACGCGGCATGCCCGTTTAGCTCGGCGAACTTGGCTATCAGGATACCTCATCATCCGGCGCATCGGGAGGTGTTGCTGCGAGAGCTGCCCGTGAAGATGGTGAAGGAGGTCGCTGTAGGCGCCTGAGGAATGGACGCACAAGCTACTTTTACACGGGATAGCGATGAACACGCTTAAATATCTATTCTTCCACATTGTATAGCAGCAATTTGTACAGTAGTGTATAACATTTAGCTCGCTCAGCCTGGCATATACCTACCATCGCCTGTAACCGCGCTGGCACTGGACGCCCTCGCGGCACACGCCACCATACTACGGACGTTGTCGCCTGCTCATATGATCGCTTCCTTTTCTATCGTTATCGCGGGTCGAAGACGTAAATAAACTGCAGACCGCGGCTTAGAAAGAACTGATGTAGGATGCCATCATATTTGAGTCAGCAATGCGTACTGCGCAATGTATATAATATTATCGCTCATTGTACCCGCCTTACCCAGGCTCAAATCAACAACATGCCAGGCTCCGCGATGTCAACTCCTGCTAGGCCCCCCTTCGGGCACCTACTAGTCGTGAACGGTCTACTCGACACGCCGCACCGCGCACGTATCGCGCCTTACTTCATAGACATTACGCTCGTCCCGCTCGGCAAGGCCCCCAACGATGCCCAGCTCGGGGAGGCCGAGGTCGTCTACGGACTGCCCTTCGGCGAGTGGTTCACGAGCGTCGCACAGGTCCCGAAGCTGCGCTTGATCCAGCTCGTGAACGCGGGCAGCGATCGCATCTTGGACAGCCCGCTCTGGAAGGACCAGGCGAGCAGGCGCATCCAGCTCACGAGTGCATCGGGCGTGCACACAGGGCCGATCCCGCAGGTGGGCTGCTCCGGACTGTGCACCGCCGCCCTGCCCTTGCTCATGCATGCGCCGCCGGACAGCACTTCATCATGACGACCCTCGCGCTGTTCCACAGGCTGCAGGAGCAGATCCTCATCAGCCAGGTGTGTCCGTCTCGGCGTGCGTAGCTCTCTAAGTGTGCTTGCATGCTCACCCGCAGCGCGCCAGGTCGAGAAGCGGTGGGGCACGAACGACGACATGGGCTCGGGGCTCTTCATCCGCGAGCTACGCGGTAAGACCGTCGGCATCCTCGGATACGGCCACATCGGACGCGAGGCCGCCCGCCTCGCCGCCGCATTCGGCGCGACCATCGTCGCAGCGAACACCTCGGGCAAGCGCACGCCGCAGGACGGGTACATTGTGCCTGGCACCGGCGATCCCGACGGCACCATCCCCGCGACGTGGTACAGCACCAAGGACGACGCGTCGCTCGCGGCCTTCCTCGGCGCGAGCGATGTCATCCTGCTCGCTCTGCCCTCGACGCCGGCGACGCGCCATATCCTCAACGCGCACACGCTCGCACACGTCCGGCCGCACGCGGTGGTTGTGAACATCGGGCGTGGTGACACCATCGACACGGACGCGCTCGTCGCGGCACTTGACGAGGGCAGACTCGGCGGGGCCTCACTGGACGTGGTCGAACCAGAGCCTTTGCCTGCGGGGCATACGCTGTACGGCCGCAAGAATGTCATCATCACGCCTCACATGAGTGGACGCACAGAACGGTATATGGATCTCGCTGTGGATATCTTCACGGAGAACCTGGAGAGATTGAAGAAGGGTCAGGAGCTGCTAAATGTTGTGGACCCTCGCAGAGGGTATTAGGGTAGGCGGGTTCCGCACAGACCAGGTGAGAAGATACACAGCATTACACATGCAGATTGTCTGGCTATCTGCATGCATATGTACGACGATTTTGATATCTCTATAGCACCGCATTATTTTGGGTCACTGTGCACAGAGTCCGGCTATTAGGGCCCATGAGCATGCTAACAGTCATGATCACACTCTCACCACCTGTCATTACACTACGGCAGGGGTCGATATTTCAGAGTCGACGTCGTGGGTGCTAAATGCCAGTCAGCCTCCCCATCCTCCCTTGAGCCGGATATCGAACTTGAAACGGGGACTCTCCTTATCAAAGCGTCCTTCTCTATAAAAATATGCAGACTCTCTTTTTGTCTTCAATATCACACTGCTCGGAGCCATTTTTGTGTCATTGGATGCGTATACAGCGCGGGGGAGTATTCGAAGAGCGAGGTCAGACATGCGCGAGACAGCACAACTGTAATGCCGCACTGTCGCGCTCAATTTCCTCCTTCGGGAGCATTATTCGCATCATAATTTACTCAGCCATCGTTATCTCTGAGACACTGACTGAAGACGAGAGAGAACTAAGTACGCACTACTGCATCGCTCACTATATAAGACTCCGCTCCCGCGCATATCCCACCCGCCGCGCGCAGGTCAACTTGCTCGCAACCAACGTCATGCCAGGCTCTACGACGTCGACCCCTGCTAGTCCCCCCTTCGGACACCTGCTCGCCGTGAACTGGCCACTCGATCTGCCACACCGCGCGCGCCTTGTGCCTTACTTCGCAGGTATCACAATCGTTCCGCGGGGTGAGGCCCCCAGTGACGCTCAGCTCCGGGAGGCTGAGGTCGTTTACGGACTGCCCTTGGGCGAGTGGTTCACGAGCGCCGCACAGGTTCCGAAGCTGCGTCTCATCCAGCTCATTAGTGCGGGCAGCGATCGCGTCGTGCGCAGCCCGCTCTGGAAGGACGAGGAGAGTAAGCACATCCAGGTTGCGACTGGGTCAGGCGTGCACACGGGGCCGATCCCGCAGGTGTGATGTTTCGGGCTGTCTGCTAGTGACTTGCGCTTGCTGATGTGTCGACCGCTGAGCAGCACTTTATCATGACGACCCTGGCGCTGTTTCACAAGTTACAAGAGCAGATCCTCATCAGTCAGGTGCGTCCTCCCGTGCAGCGCAGCTCATACGCTACGTGCCCACATCCCGCGCGTCAGGTCGAGAAGCGGTGGGGCACAAACGACGACATGGGCTCAATGGGCTTCATCCGCGAGCTGCGCGGCAAGACTGTCGGCATCCTCGGATACGGCCACATCGGACGCGAGGCCGCCCGCCTCGCCGCCGCATTCGGCGCGACCATCATCGCAGCGAACACCTCGGGCAAGCGCACGCCGCAGGACGGGTACATCGTACCTGGCACCGGCGACCCCACCGGTATCATTCCCGCGACGTGGTACAGCACCAAGGACGACGCGTCGCTCGCGGCCTTCCTCGGCGCGAGCGATGTCATCCTGCTCGCTCTGCCCTCGACGCTTGCGACGCGCCATATCCTCAACGCGCACACGCTCGCACACGTCCGGTCGCACGCAGTGATCGTGAACGTCGGGCGTGGCGACGCCATTGACACGGACGCGCTTGTCGCGGTGCTTGACGAGGGCAGGCTCGGCGGAGCCGCACTGGACGTGGTCGAGCCGGAGCCTCTGCCTGCGGGGCATACGCTGTACGGCCGCAAGAATGTCATCATCACGCCTCATATGAGTGGACGCACAGAACGGTATAATGATATTGCTGTAGATATCTTTACGGAGAACCTCGAGAGGCTGAAGAAGGGTCAGGAGCTGCTCAATACAGTGGATCCTCGCAGAGGATACTAGAATTATTGTAGTACTCGGACAGAATCAAAATATTAACTTATGTCCTACTGCCGATCTTGTGAGGCGCAGTATGGTGTGTAGCCCGTTCACCGGGCTCCTGATAAGATGGTCTTGATAGCACGCAGTAACAGAAGACAGAACAGAAAAACATCGTGTTATGGCCGAGGGAATCCCGAGAGACGAAATGTCTAGCAATACAGCGGGAGCAGGAAGAGAAGACCACAAGCATCAATCATGAGCGGGATATGCTCTGGTACTGCACAGACGCTGATTCATACTCCGTGACGAATATGCGGTCGCGCTCTTCCAGCATCCACCTATGCGTGCCATGTTAGCCATGAAGCGAGAAGCTGAAAAACGCCGAACTTACGCCATGAGCTCGTTCACGTAGTCACGGACAAGCACCACGCTCTCTGAGTCCATCGTCGAGGTGGCGACCATCTGGGGCATGCTCACTATGCATATCAGCATTAATATCGCACCGTAGCAAGCGGAAAGGGAGCGCGCACCGAGCATTCGCAGGAAATGCTCTGCACCGTACACCGTACTCATCTCCTTCTCTTGGCCAACAACAACGTTCTGCCCGGTCACGTACTGTCTCCGGATGTCTGCATACTGCGGTCGTTCAAATCTGTAAAGCAGATTTGCTCCAAGAGCGCGGTCAAAGTATGTCTGTAGACCAGCAATGATCGTTGGTAGCAGAATTTTCGGGTCGCGTAGGCTATATGTTGCGTCAGCGTCAGCGCCACGGGAAACTCAAGCGGTGGACCAATACAGACATGTTCTTCGGACTTGAAAGCACGTATTCCTCGAACTCTTTGAGTATCTCGACGACGTTTGGCGAGCGAGGTAATGGTACCAGCTATGTTCGTCAGGTGAGTTCTGCCCCGTTGTGCAAAGCGGCTTGGTGGAATACCTGGTTGTTCTTTGTGACGGCCTCCCAGTCGTCCACGAGTAGCACCTTTAGCGACTCTGGAACGTTCAGCTTCATTTCTGGACGCTTCGAGTTATCATCCTAGACAATGGATTCATCGGCATGTCGAGTAGCACAAGAACAGCACTCACGTCATCCCGCCCCCGCTTGACCCCCCTGCCATCCTTCCTGCCGGTCAGCGTCCGACCCAGATCCTTCTTCCTGTGGGGGTTAACAGCGAGTCATCCCGTGGCCAGATACATAGCAATGCAAAGTTAGGTGCGGGCATTGTCTGACAAGAATTTGGTACGCACCCTGCTCCTTTCGAGTGGGATCCTGAGCCAGAGGTATTTCCCATCTGGGCCTGATTCGCGGCAGCATTTGCCTGCGAAAGGGTCTTCTGCAAATTCAGGTTCGCTTCGGTGTGCTTGAGGAGGCGAGTGCGGTCCACCCATTCATCCCATCTGCGGGTTCAACACAGCAGATGTAGCAGGGCATAATCCCAGAGGAGAATGTCAGCATACGTGGCACAAAGGCGTGGCAGCTCACGTACGTCTGCTTCCATCCCTTGTAATGCACAAAATAATGCGGACCGACTTCGCCATTCTTCGTGTTCTGCTCGTCCCAGTGTTCGGACTTGAGGATCTTGGCCTCGTAGATGAGCGGACCGTGGTAACACAGCACGCGTTCGTTGACCTGAAATGTCGCAGGCTGCGCGCTTGAGCTTGCACTCGAAGCCATACTGAAGACGCGACGAAGGGGCGAATGTCCGTGGACGGAGGCGGGAAAGCTTTGAGGGCGGGCCTGCCAATTTGGGTATTGGGGGCGGGAGCCGCCCACGTGAGGTTCCATCAGCAGGCGCTTTCCACGCCTTCGAACTTTCGGCGGCAGCGTTTTGCAGCGCACTTCTGACCACGACCGCGACTACGACCATGTCCGGCTACGAAAACGATCCGTTCTACCTGAGGTACGAAGACAGAGCGTCGGCGTGAGGCATACATTGCTCACGCCGCCATGACACAGATACTAGTGAGTGCCACGAATTGCCAAGCGTGCATAGTGCACTGACCACCTGACAGCACAGGGCACTCTGGCAAGCACGGTCACGAGTTCCTCGAGTTCGAGTACTCGCATGGCCGACTGCGGTATGCGAATAACTCGAACTACAGGAATGATAGTCTCATCAGGAAAGAGAGTAAGTACCCGCTATGCGGTCGCGTTGTGCACGGGCTGAATATTGTCGCCAGTGTGGGTGGGCCCGCTGGTTGTAAAGGAACTGAAGAGGATCGTCGAAGGCAGCGAGATCACCAAGTGAGTCCGTTTTTAGCACAAAGTTGCTATTCACCCATTCACGCGCTGCTTTTCAGGGAAGACGACACTAATTGGCCAAAGAAGAACATCGTGGGCAAGCAGGAGCTGGAGATTCGTGTTGGTAACGATCACATCTCCTTCGAGGTGAGTATCAAAACTAGTCAAATGTGTCTATATACTAACTTCTTTGTAGACCGCGAAGATCGGCTCGCTCGTCGACATCCAGGACTCAGAGGATCCTGAAGGCTTGCGCGTATTCTACTACCTCGTGCAAGACCTGAAGGTTTGCCCAGTTGTATGAAGCTCTTGGTCTAACTCTCACGCATGGCTTTTACAGACTTTGATCTTCTCGCTTATTTCTCTCCATTTCAAGATCAAGCCCATATGAAGGACCCTCTTGCACTTTCGTGTAGTCTCGCTTTCTTTTTGCTGTACCCAATATATATTTCCATCGCTGTTGTAACAGTGACCCAGAAGACCTTACATCCCAGAACAGACAAGGCAAAGGGAAAGCTGTGGTAAGCGCCGCAGTTGGATGTACTGGCTGAGCTATATGCGTCCCTAGGAGTGGGCAATCCTGACGTGCATATATTAGCTTACTTGTCTGCCTTGTAGAGTCAGTCACGTACCCAATCTGCCAGGATCCGTCTGCAGGGCTGCAGAAGGCCGCGGAGTTGACGGGCTGCGTCGGCGGGAAGCACAGGGTGCCAGCAGCCTCCGCCGCGTTGGACTACCAAAAGGTACGCTTCATCAGCTACGGTTTCATCTCTAGTACATTCGAAGTTCTTACAAGAGTCGTCCAGCACTCGGACATCGTCCCGTTGCTAAAGTTCTCGAAGAAGACGCGGCACGTCCCGAAAGTGAGCTGCTCGATGCTGCTGCTGTTTACGACGAAGTTGGGCGCTGATACAGCATCTGTCAGGCTTATTCCGTGGCGCAGGAGCATATGCACGTACAAATGGAGCTATTTAGAATGGTAATAGAGTTGAAGATCTGCTGGCAGTCCTCGGAGATTGGCGGCAGGTCCCCAAGGGACCCACAGGCGTCCGTGCCTGGTACGTCGTCAATGCTTCGCACCATCCTTCAAAGCGTGTAGTGCTTACAAACTTGGTTGCACACATCGGTAGTTGGCACGGGCGGAGGCGCAGTCGGTGTGCTCACAACGGTGGTTGTCGGCTTCGGCTTCGGCGAGGGCGGGAAGAACGGGAACGGAAGCGGGATTGGGAATATGAAGTTTTCCCCGGGCTGCGCTGCGACAGCACACGAGAGGGTCGTCCACTGGATGTCGACGCCGTTAAGTGAGAGCGTCTGGTTTGACACGACGCCGGGGTTCGTGCAGCCGGACGAGGTGTCCCTGAGGACGTGTGCAGCGGAGCTCGTCGCCGCGAGCACTGCGAAAGTGAGGATGCTGCTGAGACGTGCCATGGTGCTACAGAGAGAACTAGAGGTGAGTGCCCCTGGCATTTCGCTGTGTCTGCTAGCTCATTTTATAGGCGTTCGCCCGACATGTTCGCGTAGAGCCGCTTCCATGCCATGCCATGGCCCTGCCTCGCACGACGTATTGCACCCAGCACTGCGAGAATATCGAGACCCCACGATTGTCAGCGCAAGACATGGCCCAGACGGTAGCAAGGATGCGTGCCTGAATGGGCACGTCCAGGGTCGACATACTGCTCACAGAAAATTCCTTCCAGCATTCATTTCTCCTTCGTTGAATTGCGAGCTAGCCGTTAATTGAGGTAGGGAAGCGTTGGAGGCATCCGCGCCCGTTAATTCTTATTACAAATCCAGGTGCGGGACTCACAGCCCGCTTATTGCAGCAGGGGCGATCAGCGACAGAAGGACTGTCGAGTACAAGGGAGCAGAAGTATCGCTCCGAGTGCCACTAACTGACTGGGCCCTAGGCTAGGGGCCAATCTTTTGTAGCTGATTGATTGATTTGTACGACAAGAAATACTACCGATAGCTTGAGCTAGAACAAACTTCTCTTGCAGATTGTCGGGATTACCCTCAAGGTCATTTCCGGCGCTATAGCGTGCAGTTTGCCTGCTTTGTGAGTCTAGCTCGCAGCAAGACCAGGCAGCGTGGGGGAACGTCCGGCGATTCTGCATACATGACGGCAGGAACTGCCTATCGCCGAGCACGCTCTTCCACAATTCCCTAAGAGAATATTGTATTGTATAAGGTCTGTGGGGAGGCTGAGGTGAACAAGCCCCTGGACGTCCGTTTATCAGTCTGCCGGCAGACGTTGATTGGGCCGTGGTGGCACATGTGCCTGTCAAGCACCGTGCCTCATCTGCACGTCAGAATTCCAGCACAAAGTTTCGGGAAATGCGCAGACGACTGAATGTTGCAGACACGCTCAATTATATTGCTGACAGCCCGGGAAGATATCGCCCTGCATGGATCCATAGCATGACAAGGCGTGAGTCTTGTCTGACTATGGTTGACTGTTCGAAAGGTACATATCAGGGTATAAGGATATTCCATGACATGAAACACGCTCTGCGATGGCCGACGCTGCGCGCACGTCATCCAACTGTGAGCTACGTCCGTGTCTTGTGGATGGTTCATCACTCACCCGACCTCCCGTTGTTCGACATGTACAGTCCGACGGACAGCGCGAGATGGGCAGGCAGGAAGCATGCTAGCTCGGCAATTGGCGTGGTCTGGGCCTAAGGTATGTGTATTTCTATAGCTCATTAGCTTCGCTCTCGTACGCGTGGCGGAAATGGTGCGGCGCACCAAGGGCGTCCAACAGAACACCAGGGTGGGATTGCTGTTGTTCTGGAACCGGAGACGGCACGTCCCGAGCGTAAGCTACTCGATGCGGCCGAACACGCCGTTGAACAGAGATTGCGGCGTACTCAGTGGATTGCTTAGCTTGGAATGCAGTGTTATAGGCCATTCAACATCACCCCCGCGCAGTCCGAAGGACTTGCAGGTTTGCGAAATCCCCAGCGAGACGCGTTATCGACTACAGGCTGGATACCATCAACGGGAATGGCCATTTACACCATAAATATACGTGCGCGAGCAATTTACCTTGCTGGGCGACCGTTACTGTGAACGGTGCATTGAGAGGTCAGTGACGCTGACGAAAGCTATCTGTGCTGACCGATGATCGTCAGGCACGCGAGGCCTTTGCGACAAAACCGAGCCAGATTCCGCAGCGTGCGGGCCAACCGTGCACAGGGTATGGAGGAACTACGCAGACTGCTGAACGTATGAGCTCTCAGACGAATCAGTCTCAGGAAGGACTAATAGCTCACTGAAACGCGGGAAGCTTTCCACCGTCATACGAGGTGGAAATCTGAGTGACTCAGGTATTGCCCATGCAGAGGTGAGGGACATGTTTGAGGGAGTGGCACCGACGATCGTGGCTGTTCCAGCCATGATGAGCGTCAGAGAAAAAGCTAATTGATTCGCGAATCCCTTGAGGTCTCTTAGGCTGGGCGTTCAGAAGATATGCACGAACTGTTGTACACAAGGCTTGTGCATCATGGCTGAACGAAAAAATACAAAACACGCTGGTGATAGTCTTCCGCGTTTATGAACTCTACGGTTCGGGATACTTGCAATCACACGAAAGCGAGAACCTTGTCTGCAGCGGTTACAGTAAGCTCGCTAGCAACCTGTTCCACGATGACTTGCTCTACAGTCGTGTCCTGGGTAATGAGGACGTGGCGCTAAGGACATGTTTGGTTAGCGACGCAGCGTTGCGGGCAAAGAGTGAAGTCGTACCTTGGAGCGCGGGGATCCGAGCCTAGCTGAAGCATCAAACAGCAAGCCCAGTGCACCAGTGAAAGCACCCTTGTCATCTGCAATGAAACGCAGTGCTACAGCCAAGATGATATCAGGCATGGCTGGCGAAAGGACGCTGCAAGTGACCAGGGAGACACTCACGAGCAGCATTGGGTCCGAATGAGTCTTTCCAAGCCCTAAAATAGCGCATAAAGTCAGCGATATACAGAGCTATGAGCGTGTTGAAGGGTACGTACTTCATGACGAACACATCATTCACGGCAACGACGTAGATGTCTTTTACTCCCTTCTCCTTGAACTTCTCGTATAGTTCGACGTATCCGGGTATTTGACGCGTGCATGTACCAGTAAATGCTCCGGGGACGCCGATCTAACATGTTGCAAAGCGTCCGAGCTGAGGCCCTGCAGGATCCCACAGCATGCTCGATAGACTTACAATGACGTTCTTGCCTGTGAGAGTCTCAAACTTGAACTCTTGGTCTGGTGCTTCTTCCTTGACAGGGACCTTGATAGGCAGGTCACTCCCTACACACACGGGCCCGAGCATATCAGACGTAGAAGTGACGCAGAGCGTGTTGGGTCGTCACCTGCGGTAACCTGCGCAGAAGCGAGGAGGCTAACAGCGGCACTGTGGGCGGCGTTGGTGACAGAGGAGAGAACGGAGGCCATGGCGAGCAAGTAGGAGATGGAAAGGTGGGAGAAAGTTGATGTCCTGGTGGTCTCATATATTGATATTGTTCGCACGCTAGAGTTTCGCCATCGGCTTTCCATCGCGACAAACGCGTGACGTCACGCCTGCTGGACCGCGAAGAAACGCGCACCCAACGCGTTCGTGCAACTGCCATCAAACGTTTCCATGCCAGACTGGAACTTCTTGAGGTGCTCAAGCAATTCACGCTGACAGTGGCATGGCCAGTAGCTGTGCATCAGCAACACTAGCGGAAATATTCATGAACGTGAGCATGTCATCATCCGCTACGACACCGAAGGACTCCTCCGCGGGCCAGCGAGGTCGTGGCTATGAAGTACGTCTACGAGCACACCGCTATTCCACGTTGCGACTCCGTGCCTAGTTGACTTTTCTCTTCGCGCTCCCCGTTCCCACTGGCAAAGTCCTGCGTCCCGAGCACAATCTGCCTCTGGTACGACACCGCGAGACACTGCTGGCGCGAGCGTTAGTCGCCGTGCGGTGTTTCCTATGCTGTCAAAAACTTGCGTGAGCTTTGCTTTCTCCCTCACACTAAGACTTCCCGGTACGTCGCGACAGTCTCCGAGTGATTTGAGTGTGTTTGATCCGTCTCAGAAGGCATCTGGAGGGGCGTATCTCCGGTCACGAAGGTGTCGGTGTGGTATTCCCTCGACGCGCGCACTATCACAGCTGAGAAGATAATACCCTGCTCCCGGTAAGTCTACGCAGAGTGCTGCTGCGGAACTGCACTGGTGCTCACGATGATTGGGCATATCTGTACCGTCGAAGCTCACGTTAGGAAGGGAGTATGGCGTAGAGTGAGTCTTGAACGTACGGAGTCAAGGACTATGAATGCTCCGAATGCTCCCAGGGTACTTGTCACAAGGATTGCGATGAGAACAAAGGAGTACATGGCTGCTGTGTATCGCCAAATCAAGTGAGATCCAATTTCTTAAGATGCAGCACGCGATGTGAGTTCACCTGACTCAATAATAACAACAATGACGCCCCTGATGCGGATTCCCGCCACGGTAGGCCCTGGTAGCTTCTTGTGAACGGCCCAAATTTTCCATGAGATCATGACTAGCGAAGATGGCTATAAGAACCAAAGATCTGCCGCCTGAATTACTCACCTGTACATAGCACATTCAGTGCAAGAGTAATGGCACAAAAATAGTCGAGTCGAGCAGTTGCACCGTCGACAGACTGCGGTGAATTAAGCTGCGCCCATAAGTTCCACGCGAATAATGCTATTATTGTGTCAACCGTAGATTACATTATTTGTTTAGGAGAACGCACCTATGGCGGCAGATAGTAGCATAGAAGGGATGACTATTGGGGGGTACTTGCGGCCGCATACCACAAACACTCGATATACCTAGGTGTAATGTATATGAGCCGAAGAGACCTCATATTTCATCCAACATACCAGAAGGGCATCGCAAACAAGGGTCAGCGTCATATAAATGGCAGTCTTCGACGTCTTCGCAGGCGTACTGAGCGTAATGAAGTAGTATGTGACCGGGGCGTTCGCCACATCCATATGATCTGTGAACGCCTGGAGTATGCGAAGAATCTGCATTACTAGGTGCTACTAGCGTGATCAGTGTATGATAAGTGACATATTCACAGAGAGCATTGTACGTACCGCCGTTACCAGCGAGATTATCACCAGCGCGACGGTAAGGAAGAGTAGTATCGGTCGACCCGCCTGGTGCCTTACATAGAGCACGCGAAGGAACTGGCAAAATGACACAAAATACATTCCTTCAGTGCACAATGAGCTCGTCTCCGAAGATGCTATTGGATAACATCTGCTTACCGTAAAGCAACAACTCGAATAGCGTGCCTATGAAGTCTGCTTTCGGCAGCGGAAGGGCCATTGCGAACTGAGCTCAGCGAAAGGGAATTCTAGGCTCGTTGCGGTGAAAGATACTATTGAATCAAGGCCAGGGTCAACCTTGCTGCCGTCGGCGCCGCTATATATCTTGACAAATGACAATCGTGGGCATCTCTAGCAATTGCGGTTGGTACCGTAGTGGCGTCTAGCTAACCAGAAGTGTCAGTATCCGTCGCCGAGGAATCATTGAAACATCCTACATACACCGCGACGCTGTCCAAGACTACCGTTATCGGATGTTGCTGTAGAGTTCGAAGCGTTCGTCATGTTAAATGAGAAGTGTCAGGGCGCAACGCCAGGCATTGATACAAGGTTTTTATGGCGTAGCCATGCCTATCCGGCACGCAATGAATCTGCACCCTAATCTTGCTTGAAAAGGCACAGAATTTGGCCGGGGCCAAGTTACACGGGACATGCCAGAGCAAGCCATATATATGTATGTTGTCATTGTCATGAATCTGGTGTGTCCCTATTGGACTCTGCACGTGCAGCGGCCGTGGAACGTTTCATCGATAACCAGATGGTCAGGGGAAGCAGCTTCTCCTTGAGATGTCGAGGAGCAGAGGCTAGCTCAACCGTCAATCGTGAGACGGGGGCAGGCGCGCGGCAGGCGCGGTGCCGATTCCGATTCCGATTCCGATTCCCACGCTTGATGCCGCTGATGCGCTGCGAATTGCGGGAGCGCCAGCTGACCAGCTGAACTCGAGCTTGCTGGTACGAAAGGTATAAAGTGGGACTTACCGCTCTATATACTACCCTTTAGTGCGCACGGGGCTTGTTCACACCGACGTATGGTATTCGGCTACAGCCTGCAGGACATCAGGGTTGGACATGTGGGCAGCGGACACGAAACCGGAGCGAAGATACAAAAGACCGCAATGAGCTGCTGTAAAAAAGTCGCTGAGCCAGTTGCAGCGATTACCGAAGCTGGCAGCAAGAGCAGTTTTGAGAGGAGGCATGGTCTTGTCACCCCGGAGATGCAGTGTTGAAGGTGTAGGGTCTACAGAGCGGCGCTTTCGCTCATGGGCGTCAAGGAAATATCCGCGTCCAAGTTGTTTCTGTCTTCCACAAGAGGGTGACCCGTGCTATGCACGGGCGGAGAGAACTGAGAAGAGAGTTTAGAAGAGAAATCGAGTGAGAAATGAGAGGAACGTATCACAGTTTACCATGGACAAAAATCAAAACTCGCAGCATAGTGCAGAAACTCGCTGCGCGTGATTGACAACTAGTGAGGATATGTACACAAACATGAGACTGTATTCACTTTTGTGCACATTATCACACTTAAGTGCGATGAGGTGCGCAAACGTGCACGTGCGTGCACTTTTCCCACAAAAAACTCGCCATACCGGCATAAAACTCGCCCTCGCTCATGCTAAACTCACTAGGCATCTGTAGCGGTGCACATGCCTGCGCAAAAGTGCACACTTGTGCACGTTTGTGCACCAGCGTGCGCGTAGGTGAAAATTCCACCGTTTAAACTCGCACCAGCAGGACAGAAACTCGCGTGAGCTAGTCATGAACTCGTATGGGCTGGGCAGAAACTCGCATAGGCTAGGCAGAAACTCGCGTATGCTAGACAGAAATTCGCATGAGCTGGGCAGAAACTCGCGTATGCTAGACAGAAACTCGCGTAGGCTAGGTAGAAACTCGCGTAGGCTAGACACAAACTCGCGTATACCAGAAACAAACACTACGGGCATCCCCAGATTTTAGGGGGCCCGAAATGTCCCAGACAAGGCATCCAAAATGTAACATTTCAGGAGACTTTCCAGCAACTTTCCCGAGTGCTGAAATGCTCACTTTTCTGTCACTTTTGAGGCAATTTCTCTTGTCGGAAAAGGCTGTCTGTTACGTGCTTTGAAATAAACCCGAAACATCCCAGTTAGGCAGGCTGTACTGGTCATATGAGTGTCCCAGAAATTGCCGGGAAAGCCATCATTACTGATGGCTTTGTAATACATTTCAGGACATCAGGAACAAGTGCTTTCAGAGATTTGGAAATTTAATGGACTAAAAAACTGATGATAGTCCTGAAATACTCTTAAAATGTCTCGAGCAGGTATAATTAAGGTGCTCATAAAATGTATGTAACAAATTACCTTTTATGGTTGCTGAAACTATAGCTGCCATGTCCATTTCAGGCCCATTTCAGGCCCATTTCCTATCTGACCG